GATAGCACCCCCTACTCAAATTAATTAAAAGAAGAAAATTAATGTATATTCTTAATTCTATATTTTTAAAAAATAACTTTCAATAAAAATACAATTTTTGAATTTCTATGTAGTATTTTGTGGTGTGCGAACATTAAATTCGTTTCCCTCAAATATCAGGTGGCAGGAGCATATCGTCGTTGTTGGTTGCTAATAGCTATTGTTATTGTTGATTATTACTTTTAATCATATCAATATAATAATATGTTATTATATATATTATAATATAAGCAAAGTCTCATAAATCATAATTGTATGCATAGTACATGCGTGTACATTTCAACTACGGTCTTAAATACGAGTTTTGGACGACCGGCAACGTCGTTCGTGACATAATATACGTTAGGTATTTCATTTTATTATATTTAATTTGACAATTTATTATATGTATGACTAGGGGTATTAAATTTAAAGTCACGCCTTCACCACCAGCACCCACGAGCCGCCACTGCCTTTTACAAACTTTCTACAAAAAAAATCATGCTTTTAATAACATTTTGAAAAAAATATTACATAATAAAAGAACATAGGTAGTGTTTTCCTGTTGGTGGATAAGTATTTAATTTTAATTCTTCTAAAGTTCTAACTCGTCATCGTGGTTTTATGATTTATAAAAAAATAATATCCATAAAAAGTTCAATTTATTACTTAGGTATGATAAAAAATAAATGAAAAATAGGTAAACCACTATGCTCTACAGTAGGTATTGAGTATACCTTGTCATTGAGTTATACACTGTAATTTATGTGTTAAATTTCAATCCAGTAATAAATCATTTAATACGAATAACAATTCTGAACGGAAACATCATTACTGTAGAATGGTGCAAATAGATTTATGGTATAATTATATAAATAGACAATAGCTTAAAATTAATCTAAATGTTACGACAATGTCATTGTATAATAAATAATAATAAAAGTTAGTAAGAGTTTCAAATCCTCGCAAATAATATTTTTTTAATTACAATAAAATAATTAAAATGCTAATCTTTGTTTAAACTTTAAATATTTAATTTTATTCAAATTTAAAATTCAAACGTATTTATTAAAAAACATATAGGTACCTAATTTATATATTTTTAAATTTTTCATTTCAGGATAAATTATTTATGAGAAATCATGTACTTAATTATCAAACCTGGTTACACAAATTTAACATTTTACTAATTCTTAAATGTAAAATAATTTACAAATTTTGATGAATTCTATCAAAATTTAAACTTTAATTTCTTATAAAAAAAAATCATGCCTGCATATATCTTTAATATTTTTAAATAGGATTAAAAATATTTAATGAGGAACCATATATTGTATTATATATTGAATTTTCGAGCTGTTTGACCGAGTAAACATTTTAAGGATATTCATAGAAAAAACTAATACATAAAAATTGAAAATTTTAAATGTTTTAACCTGAAAAATCCTAAGTCTCTTTTTCGCTGTTCTTCTAGTCTCTCGTGTTTCTTCTCGCTTGCTTTCTTTTTTTCAAACATTTTAACAGGAAAAAATCTATGAAATTTAAAAAACTTACATGTCATGTACTTAATATAATTATATAAAAATATGAATGGTATAATAAAATAAAACCAGATTTAATCATTATTGTTATTCGTTTTACATGTACGCACAATACTAAATATTAATTAACTAGGTAGATACTCGTAAACATATTATATTATTTGATAATGATAGTAAAAATGTCTGAAAATTCTTTCAATTCCATGTCACTACATCAGTTATTAGATTTTGATTACATTATTCATTTAAATGATAGTACCAAATATACTAGCTTGAAAACCTGAAAATCGTGAGCAGATTAGTCTAGTAACTACGTAATTGTACGAAATACAAACGCGAATTATTAATATAACTACATAAATTAATAAAGTCGACATTATTATTAATCTTTAATCAATACAACTATTATTTGGCAAGATCGGAGAAAATACAATTGATAACGTTGACGTTTCCTATTAGGAATTACATTACCTATGTGTAGGTATTGTATTTAAAACACACCATTATAAAATCAATACATTCATCACTCCGCTCAGAATCTGAAAAATTTACAAAAATCAATAATTAAAATTTCCTACATGTTAACTATACATTTTATACGTGTATATAATCTGTACAAATTATTTATTTTTTTTTTTTTTTATCAATAAACACGCAACTTGAAAAGTATTAATAACGTTTATCAAAATATTTTTTTTACAGTATAATTCATTAAATACAAATTACAAAATAATATTTTTACTATTTTTCATCGTTAATAGTTTTAATTTTTTTACTTTTTCTAACGACAGCATACAATTTTAGTTTGATATTGTAAGACATTATATTTTACCGATTATTTTAATTTATTAAAATCGAATTTCAAACGTCTAGTTAATTAATTTTATTATATGCACTTAAAGTTTTATATGAAATGGAGCATTAGACCATTATGTTGATGGATACCTTTGTACGTTGTTCCATTCTACTCCACTTATCAAAACTTTAAAACTTATAGGCATCATTTTGTTTTCATTTTAAAGAATCATATTATTGTGTAGGATTGTAATCTTTATTATGTTGTCATTTTTTTTTACGATTTTTTCACTTATAAATATCGTTATTAATTATTATATTATATTCACAACAGTATTATCATTATAAAATATAAATCAAAAATACTCAATCGCCTTTAAAATTTATTTCAATATTAGTTATTAAAAAAAACATAAACTATACTTATCAATTTTGTTAAACTCAGATTAGAATATAAATCAAAGGTAGGTATTCTCTAGAGTTTTTAATTCTGAACTAGGATGGAAATCGTTGGAAATTATCAAGTTTAAATGGTGGATTAAGAATTTAGAATAGCTAAGCATTATAATACCTCCTTAGATTTTCAACTTCGGCTGAATATACTATACTAACAAATTCTTGATATATAACATTATAGTTGATTTCCTGTGTAAATATTTCCGTATTATGTGTTTATTGTCTAGTCTGTTTTATAACTATGATCTAGCTGTAATCAATTTTTACTTAAATTAAAATTATAATACACAACATTGGATTATATAAAAATATTATTTAACATTAGAATTTAAGGGACTCGATACCGACTATTTTTAAGGAGTCTAAGGTATATAAGCATGTATAATTATCTAAAACTAATAACGATTTCTTTCGATTACTTTCAATAAACTCGGCCATTATAAGTAAAATATAATCATTTTGAACGTTGAAAACTATAAAAACGATGCAACGAGTATAATACATGCACAGACACTATAGTTATTGCTCGAGAATCGATTTTACAAAAATTAAACAAGTAATGAGAGAATTTAATCAGTTACCTATTGATATTTTATCTTGGATATAAAAGATGTGACTCTACAATACGTATAACAATCGGTCTTACAGTTATATAGGAACCTACTACATATAATACCTATAGGTATATTATGGAATTTTCCATTACAAACACGACAAATACCGATAAAATAATTATTAACAAAAGTTATATATAAGTTTAGATAAATTTAAATATAATATATTCAACTTTTCGCATTGTGTAATTTTTAAAATTACCTATTTTAAAATATTATTATACTTCATAATTATCGACGAAAATAGTATATTATTATTTTATATTTTTATGCAATATTATACATATTACATACTATAACATAAAAGTAATGTTAATATATAAATATTCTTATATTTTAATTAATTTTATATTTTTTATAATTTTTAAAATTATGTAATAATATGATTGCCATAATTTTACAAAAATTATATACCAATTATTTAATTTTTTTACATATAATATTATATAAAATGTTGTTTTGGTCAAAAAGGGAAGCATACGATTTTAGTCGAAAACGGCCATGCCCTATAGCTTATTACAAATTAATAATACACAGGTATACGACCATATTTATCGTATATTCTATGTAACAATTTTAAATAATATATCAAGAATCATATTATAATAGTTGTAGATAAATATAATACATCAATAGCCTTGTAACTATGATGTCTCGATAGTCGATTGTATAATACTTTTTTTTTATAGTATCACAATATGATTCCAATGTGTATAAAAAGATTGCATTTTAAACAAAAAATTTAAAATGTAGAATATTTGTAATATTAAAATATTAATAGATAAAATAATTTATTGTTTTTAATGTAGTATATTGTTAAAAGAAATAAAAGTTATAGTTTGATCTCTGCATTATAAATATCTACATGAATAAGGCGTATACGGTATACCCACGGTTTATATTTTTAGCAATACATCACTGATTATCTGTGTACTTAAAATACACAATACACTTTTAATTTTTATTTGAATGATACTTGATACCTACAATATTCATTTTTATTCACAACAATACAACATTCTCTAACGTATAACCCAATTTTACCAACGAGAGAATAACGAATCCTAACATTGTGTTTCTGTGTTACTATGCCTATGTTACATTGTTACCCATCAATGTCACAACCCGTAAACATGTCAATTATAAAATGCATTGTCTTCGTAATACTAATTAACTATGTAAGCTATGTTCTTGTTCTACTTCCTAATATTTCTTATGTGTAATTGTAATTTTTAGTAGGTAGAATGTGTAGTGTTACATTCTGAACCCTTAACGGAGAACAATATTTTCATTTTTCTGTATTATGGACTATGGTAAATTAGTTTCAAATATTATTTTGTGTATACCTACTTTAAAATAATTAAATGCATTATTATTCCAATTAAGGGTTGTACCTCCACTTGAAAGTTGAAACTCTGCTCGTTGAAGAGAAACAATTTTTTAATTCAATTATTTGTTGTTTATTGATAAAATCAGCTATATTTTACTTCATTGTAACATAATTTGTTTTTGTTTTCGAACTTTTTTTATACTATAAATAAAATAGTTATATTTTGATATAGGTACCTACCATTTTTGAAGTTTGAATGATCCCAGTACGGAATCCTGAATTTTTCTTTATTAAAATATATAGATTCATAAAGGTACTACTTACCTACTTTGGAAAAAAATACTTATAAACTTTTTATTAACCATATTATTCAGTACTCATCTTACACCAGTACACCACTATTATCTTTTCTTTATCCCATCGAAAACTAAAATAATACAATTATTTGTTACATTATATGTTATCTTATACTGTGGATACAAAATTAAACATCATATTATTCTCAACTATATAGGTACCTACTTAATTAGACTAAATAGAATAATATTTTGCAAAAGTTATAGTAAAACAAAAGCTTAAATAATTATTATTGGTATTCTTATTAATGTTCAGTATTTAAGATAATTAGAATTCAGCTAAAATTTACAACAAATAGGTAGGTAAAATCTAACTTAAAGTTCCGTTACATATACATAGATTCTAGATTTAGGTTTTAACCTATTAAAAAATTTAAAAAGGAAGTATAGTTAGTCTTGCATCGCCTTTTCAAATATTTTAATTAGCTACTCGTTTAAATTTTAAATGGTACTTAGTTATAAGTTGAATAATACTTAAGAAACTAAGTTCTTAAATTGGTTTTTATTAATAAGTTACAAAAAATTAATAGGTTGTAGCTTTAATAACTTGAATATTAAAAAAAATACCACTTAATACCTACCTACGTGTTGTAATATTGTATCTATCTATATTTATTACGTTTATTATATTGAATAACAGTTAATTTATATTGTTAATTTATAACTGATAAGTTGAGAACATTTTATAATTATCATAGTTAAGCTAAAATATAGGTACTTACCTATGAGAAATTTGTACACTGTACATCGGTTTTACCTCATTGAGTAAGTGCGGGTAAAAATAATAAACGTTATTCTGACAGCTGACATAGCTGGTGAAGTGGTGACTGGTGAGTAACTATAATTGTGGGTTACCTAGTTACTACATTATGGTCGCCATCTATAAAATAAAATATTAAATCAGTCTCCTACGATATGCTTCAATAAGATTCAATCTTATCCTGTCAGTTTTTCAAAATACACGAGCACGCGCATATAATACATACCTTGATATCATTTAATTAGATACTTACGTAAATACTGAAAAACATTAAGATACCTACCCACAATTTTAGGAACGAAGGCAAAAATGAACAAAGAAGCATTTATGCGTTTCGGAACTTACGTTACGGCGATCAGATGTCTATTAGCGTTCGGCGCAATCGTCCAGTTAGTTTTGGTAATAGACATGAAAAACCGATTGATCAGTCCACTTCGCGAATGGTTATCCGACATAATTTTCTATTCGATTTCGTCCTCACTTTTCGTGCTCATGGTGACCGCCGTCAACTCAACAGACTACACACAAAAAAACATACACCGGTTCAAGTAAGCGCAACAACGTACATAAATCAAAAATATCAATATTTTATAAAAACGTGTTCAGTGTGACAATAATATATTATTATACAGCGGTGTGTGTATTATTATCATAAAATTATAAGTAATAACAATTTAGGTGTATCATATATTTTATTGTTAAGTATTAAAATAGGTTTTTTAATAGAAGGTAATATAGTTGCAAAATTAATTTTCAGAGACCTACTGGACCAATAGTTGGAATATTTAGAATTGACAGGATTGACCGAGTCTCCTCAAAATAAATAAAGTAGACGCAAATTGGTTAATCCCCTTCCCCCGCAGCCCATGACTAGCACACATCGCTAAAATAACGGTCGATGCGACAGTAGGTGAAAGCTAAAAACCCAAAGTGTTAGTTAGGTTGTGCGGACATTAAAAAAACTACCTATTGTCTAAATAAGATTTCAATATTAGATAGTAGAGATCTGAAAATATATTTTTTTACTCGTATGAGAGCCAAATTACTAAATATATTAATATACCTAGTACACTTAAGTCGTAACAATAATAGTAGAAAGGTACCTACCCAAGTATCGTCTAAAATGTTATGGTTCAAACATATATTGATACCTACCTAAGTGGAAGGATTTAAAATTCTATACCTATTGTGCTCATTTTGGCGAATACTGAAGTAAGGTTATATTGTATAGGATCCCCATACAGCTATAGAGCTATAGAGACGATATACTATACAGTACTTAGTTGAGAATAAAAAGTTTTTTTTTTTTTTTATTATATCTTAAAATCGGCGCATCCGAGCACTAGGGGCTAATCACAGGTAGTGTACTAGTTGGATCCCGGATTTTTATAGGTACTACACTAGTTCGGTCCTGAATTATTTTAGGTGGGTATTACACTAGTTCCTGAATATTTTTTGGTAAGTCCTATACTATACTAACACTTTCATTCTCATTTTAACATACTTAGGATAAGTCTGTTAAAAGCTATACTTAAAATATAGCCATATAAGTAAGTGAAAAAATATTAAAGATATTATTAAGAATTTTTAATATTTTTTCACTTACACCTGTAACGTCCCCTCTTCACATGGATGTTTGCGACGCTCTCGCGTCTTGCCTATAAAGTTATGTTTTGATTAACGAGGTCTCGGGGACTCGACCTCGGTGTGTAATATTAATATACTAGATCAGGGTTACCTTATTTAAGTAAAGCACAATTGTATAAAATGTAACGTATATTTAACAGATAATTTAAGATTTATATAATAGAATGAAGGTTACCGATCCGGGTAGATTGACAAGCCGTGAGTGTGGATGGTGGATGGCTGCACGGATCGTTGAGGAGTCTTCTGGTCGTCTGTCTGCTCCTGGTGTCGCACACACACTCCTCGCACACACTCTCCTACACTACACGTATTCGTCTTTATTATATACCTTAAACTGCTGCCTAAAAGCCTTAGGTCAGCAGTCGGCCCCGCTTGCCATTCCTCACACTCAGCATTTTAATAACGTGTGCCCTACTTAAGGAATAATGTACGATGTCGATAGACGACAATCGTTACACACCTATATGGCTAATTTATATTATATGTATTTTTATACTTGGTTTTTAACATTCTTAATATTTTCAAAAAAACATTTTTAACCATACCTGTGATCTAAATAGATCATAGACAGTTCTAAGTCTGTTAAAATGGAAAGAAAAATGTTAGTATAGTACAGTGTACTTACCAAAAAATATTCAAGAACTAGTGTTGTACCTAAAATAATTTAAGACCGAACTAGTATAGTACCTATAAAAGTCCGGGACCCAACTAGTGTAGCAGTTTTAAATTCGGGACCTAACTTGGATGCAGCCCTTAAAATTTCCCTTTCACTTGTTACTAATGTGATTGGCCTTTCCTCCTTAATCCTCGGCAAAGCGAATGCTGGTAATAGATTAATTAAAGAACAGTCAAAAGACAAAATTGATTCAATTAAGCTCGTTTCGCAGATACATTGTAGGTATCTTGAGGTTTCACTAAATCTACTTCTCGTTTTTACGTCTAATTTCCATCATACCACCACAAATTAGGTACCTCGCAAACGAATTTTGAAAATTAATGACAAACGCTAATGTGGACCTTCATATTCCAGTTCAATTTTTTTTCTTTTTAATTAATTGTTATATAGATATATTTAATCACACATGAACTTAAATTTACTACCTATTGTAATTACTAATGATACACATTGTGTAAAAAAATTCCCGTTCGTTAAGTAAATAAAATAAAATATAAAATATCAAGAATTGGTAGGTACATTATAAAAGTATCTACTTACTAAGTCTGTAGTATAATATTCGTATGTTTGTTGGTATATTTATTTTAATGAATATCAAAAATATTAAAGTAAATATTCAATAAATAGGTAATACAGATAAATAGAGATCAAGTGAAAATAATTTTAACTAGAAGTAACATTAAAATATTTCTTGGAATTAAAACATAAACGCTGATTATAGTACTTATAACTTTACTACCTAATGTAGGTACCTAACCATTTCTTGATAAACAAAAAATGTTTATAGGTAATCATTTATAATGTGCAATTATTAAAATTAAAATTAAACAAATATTTTTTAAATGAAACATAGCTGAAAATATGCTTGTTTAAAATGTTGAATATATTTTACTTTATTTTTTCATAGTTTACAGATTGTATTAGAAACAATTATTGAATTTATTTTGCGATTTTCCCTACTTTGATATTTTATACATCATTTATATTACATTTATTCTTAAAATATTATTTAATCCAATGAACACAACATTTATAATGATAGAAAAATATTAAGCTAAATAGGTACTTACTAGTTACTACAAATATTGTACTTTTTTTCATTTGATATTATACCAAAAAGAGGCTACTATATTTAATTATATATGATCATAAAAAAAAAAAAAAATACAATCAACTATGAACTTTTCATATTTTTACAGCTTTACAATATGCATACAAAAAGCAATTTATCGCTTTTTTTTTAATTTTAACAATACAAAATATAGTATTCACAAACATGTATGATCTCCTTACATTAATAAAATGTATTCCTTATATTTGAGGTAAACACAGTAAAAAGTGAACTATGCAAAAATAAAACATCCAAATTATATAAATGGATTAGATGCTAAAATAGAATAGAAAAAAGAAAACATATTATATAAGATAAAACATTACTGTATTAAATTACTAATATAAAAACAAGATAAGTACTATATTCTAACATACAGATTGCTATCATCAGACAATCATATCACTAATATATTGAGAGAAAATCATTATGATCTCATTATGAATCATTTTGTCTTGCCAGTAATTTCTCTATAGACAAATACATTATATACACACATACAAATTTTAAAATATACATAGACATATTTAAAAATATAAAAAAAACCAACATATTTGCAAATTTAAAAATTATGCAATATAATTATATTGATTAGGATTATCTTTGTCTCTTTCCATATAGTCTCGGTCAATAAGAGATTCTATACGTTTTTTTAAATCAGCTGGCTTGGCAGGAAACTTGAGTTGATTGAATAGTTCACTGATCAAAAGATTATGCATGAGTGACTTGCGCATTTTCATTATCCTCACAATAGCTGCGTCCATTTGATACTGTCTATCCTGATATACTCGCTCTTCAGTTGCCTTTTGCTCTTCATTTGTCTCCTTCATTTGCACTTGGTTGATTTTAATTCTATATAGCTTATTATAAAAATCATTATTAACTGAAAACTGATCAGTATCACCTACATCCCGTCCTTTGGGAGACTTCATCAACACTCTTGCTTTACCACATGCTAATGACTGTAGTGTTCTCCTCAATTCAGTATCTTCCATATTAGTCAAAGTTTTAATTTCTTTAAAAGGGAGCATTTGATATTCATTAAATAATAACAGCACCATTGCTTGAAACAAACTAACCTGCAACTCTTTATTACCCTGCTTGAACTGAGAACGTAATACACAATGACCTAAAGTTGGCTGCCACTGTAATTTTCTACCATTATGCTTAGCTAGGTAAAATTTATTAAAACAGTCTTGATATTCAATAATTTGATTGGGCATGGCCACTTCTGTCACGGCATAGGTTGGCCAGTGCCCCATAGTCAATATATTGACAGTCATGTCAATAACAGAGAGTTGAACATCTTTAACATGCGCCAAATACTGTTTGTAAGCCACATTTATGTCTTTACTAATCTCCATATCCTTAAACATACCTTCAAGTTTAGACGTAAACCCACCACCACATTCTTGTTTTAGTTTAGACAGCATACTTTTTTCAGCATCCACACTTGCAGACTTCCCAAGTAACAATCTTTTAGCTAAATCCTTTTTGTAAAAAGCTTCAAAAACATCTTTGCCATGAATGAACCGAAACAGAACCATAATTTTATCCAAAAGTTTTTCCAGCTCTTCTTCTGTAGATTCTTTATTGCCAACTTTAAGTTTAGAGTCAACAAATTTGGCAATAAGCTCAGCAGGTTTGTTTGTTCGTTGATTAACAAAATGTTCAAATGCTTCTTTTAAACTGTTACCAAATTTCTCGTTTGCTTGAAAACATTTTTTTACAATTATGTCCATTTTGTCTTTAAAATCTAATAATTCCTGTACCATAGTCTTATCCTTTTCTGGATCTATAACAATAGTTCGTCCATATTTTTTTATGTAGCCATTAAAAGTTACACAGAGTTCTGTAAGTCCTTTTTTCACACGTGTCAGTAAGCTATACATTAACTTTAGATCGTCCAGTCTATTCTCATTCAGCAATTGTTCTAGTCCTTTTTGTAATATGGAGCTAACATGTTCACTTATTAACTGTTTTTCAACTGTGTGTATTAAAGACCATTTCGTAGATGTATCTAAATAATGAATGAGACGTTCGTTTTCTTCACTTAAACGCTTCTCAACATGATACAAGTATTCGGAAACTTCAAGTTCAAGCATTAACCGAGAACCTTCAGTTGAATAGAGACGTTCAGTGGCCTGTAGGAACTTTCCTTCAAAA